GTAAGAGTGGGAGACAACTTGCAAGCAATCTGTTCAAATGAAAATTTGTCATTGTTGCAGAAGCTGCTTACAGAACTTTCCCATATTCCAGAAATGCCATTTCACTTATCATTCCAAGGTTAGACCTGAGCTGAGATGTTCTTACTGGCTCAGCAAAGTCTTAAGCACAGGCCAGCACTGCCAGTGGTGCAGAACATATTAATTCTGTACTACTTTGTGGTGTGGACCACTGTCTGTCAAACGTGGGTAACGGAGATCACCACATGCATTTCAATTAGGAGACCATGCTCTCTGAAGTGGAATTTTCTCCCTTTCTTTATTCTTTTTTCAGCTGAGCAATCTAGAGATGGTGCTTCACCTTAGATGTTTTTTCTGTCTCTAGAAAAAGTAGAAGAGGTAAGAAAATAGCTCTTCACTGAAGACAAGAATCTAAAATTATCTTCAGCTGCATAAACAACTGCATACTTCTTGTCTTTACAGATGCTTTGATAACAAAATGCAGTTTGAAGGTTCCCTTATCTAGCATCAAGTAAAGATCAAGCAATTTACATTTCATAACACTTGCATAAGAAATGAAAACAGTCTTACAGAATGAGTCTTGTGGGCCTGACTTAGGCAAAGTTCATGTGAGCATACCTTCATAACAGTATTTAACAGTACAGGTAGGCAGGGATGAAGGGAGAACCCAGTCTGCGTATCAGAGGTTAGTGGTTCTTTGTTTTATCTGTGGCTTGAATAAGCATCACTGACTGCTCAACCTCCATTTCTATTGATGAAGGCTTTGAAAAATTGTGAAGTGGCATGCCCTCAGTATCAGTGAGTGCCAGCTTGCATTAAACTACTGGTTTTGATTTAACAGTAGTTGATTTCTCTAAGATTGAGTATTGAGGGTGGCATGTTTAAAAATGCCACAGGTATGAACATACTTGTTTGTCTCATCCCTCTTGTGCTTTCTCAAGCATCACGAGCTTGCATTGTGAGCCTTTGCAGGGAGAGACACGTGCAAGTCTCTCATTTGGGTGCTGTGGTAACTGCATGCTTCTCAGTTTTCAGTTGTCTTTAGGAGCTGGATTTCTGATATCAACTTGTGAAGTCGTGGATTAGCAAATGGAAAAGAAGGAAGCGTTAGCTAAATGCACATACTTATCTTTAAAATACTTTGTAGGCTGCCAAATGCTTGATTAGAAATTCCAAGTTAGTGCATGTCAACTGTCCTACACCTGCTTTTACATTCTTCTTAGGAGTCTGGATTTGAGTGTTGCCTCTTTTTCTGGGGAATTTGTCCACCAAAGTCTGTGTTCAGGAATATTTCCCTTACTCAAAGTACTATGTTCCCCATGTAATCAAAACCTAATGACCACATTACTTCATTACATTTTTCCAGGTCTGAAGTGAGTAGACTTCCTTTTTGTCTCTGGAGTTCTTTCCCAGCTGACCATCTGGGCAACTTAAAAATATTAGTGTGTTGTCTGCATCAAAATTCAGGAGACTGATTTTCAGGACATTGCTCCTTTTTTTAGTTCCTTTTATCACTGTTCCAGTTACTTAGGTCGTATTACTGATCTGAGTAATCCTTTTAATGTATAGCCATTTGTACATTGCAGATAACAAAGTTACATCAAACCTGAAACATTTTGAATAATTTGTCCTCTTTTGATGGTAGCAAATCTTTCTTGTGCCTTCACTTGGCTTGGAATTCTGGACTTCCCTAATGAATAAGTAGTTTGATCTCTAATGTGAGAAGGCTGACATCTTACAAAATTGGAATGAGATGAAGGGTGTAGGTTGTTGTTAACAGTACACAATAGCTTAGTTCTTGAGAGCTTTGATTTGAGTAGGAAAATGAGTAAATCAAACAATAAATATTTGTATTATTGTAAAACTTGAAAGGTTAGGGAGATTGTGCAATGTCTTAATGCACTGACCCTTTTTTTCGGTAAAGGCATAATTTTTAAGTTGTGGTTAAGCACAGAAATAAAAGCAAGTTTGCTGTTCAAATGCTTCTGCAGTTTGCAAAAACAGAAACAGATACATTAAAGAATTCAGAATGCTTGGGAATATGTTTCAAGACAGGATCCTCTGACACATCAGGGTTGACCTACCTAGGTGGGAAGGCTGGGAAAGCTTGACTGGCTTCACCTTGTACTTAGTTCAGATGTACACTGTTAATCCCTCATTTTTCTGTGCACCCAAGTTATACAATATATATTCACATAAATTTACCCATTCCTTGAATTTTTTTCTTCCTACTTAAGGTACTAGCTTTTGGACTTTGGAAAGA